AGGGGTGACTGGCGAAAATATCAACACAAAATGTCTCCACGCGGTGCCGTTTGTCCTGATATTAGTGAGTGATTTCATTGCTTACCTGAGGAACTCCCTATCGCTGATCGGCATACCCTTGTTGGTGGCGTACATGAAAAGCGGACGCTCTTGTGAGAGTGCGGAAGCGAGCACAAAGTAGGAGACGAACACCAGCAATGGCACAAGTAATCGTCGCAGCATCCCACAAACTGAAACAATGAATGAATTCACTGCATAATAGTACTTCTTACAAAGGTGACCAGACAGAGAAATCGCGAAAGAGGCGGAACCGGGCGGGGCTGAAATACAAACATCTGCACATGCTTCTTTTCACGAGCAAATGGTAGGCGATGTCTTTTTACAGTGCACTCTGAACAGTACATTGGATATCCTTAACTACTGAACTCTGCTGGTACAGCGTTGGTGAGGAGCTATCGAGCGGCTTCTGGCAACTACTTGACCACTTGTGTAGCTCTTTGGGGAGGCTGCAACCAGTCTGTAAATGTACCGAAGGTCTTTCATCTCGAAGGAAATTTGCAGTAATGCGTTCTACGTCAATCTACGATTTCTATGTATATATACAGTAGTGGCCAGAAATTTATGAACAAACGGTTTTTTCATGATTTCTCTTTTGAAAGTCACTGGAACGTCTCCAAATTTGCAACAATTATTAACTACGTGTTTTATGATCCACACAGAAAATTTCAACCTTCAGCTCAAATTTGGGTTTAGAAAATTTTAGATTTTTCGAAATTAATGAAGGCAGGTGAAAGATCACTTGATCCGTTTATTTGATTTAAATAATGTATAACCCAACAGAACAGTCAAGTAAACAGTCACTAACATTAAGCAAGTCTAGCACATTGCCCAGAACTCTCTAAAGTATTGGATACATAAACTGGATTTGAATGCGGGGTCAACTAATGAACTCACTCTCTAGTGGGGTCTCTCTCTGTAGTCCCGTCTTTTCGTGGCTCTTTCATTGACATACGAATTTGTAGGTCCTCCCCTAGTGGTTCTGTAATGTTTGGCTCAAGAGTCTGGCCTGGCTGGTCTTTTGTTATTAAGCCCAACCTTCCATGCTGTCGAAACCCCTCCTGGCGAGTGTGAGAGGAAGCTAAATGCTTTGACTCGCTGCTCTGCTGACAGACAAAGCCAGGTCGTGTGGCAGCCATGCCCACGGATACACAACATCTAGGATCTAATTCTATACTACGTATTCCTTAGTTCTCAAAGTCTGAGAAGAGTGCTCGTGAATGTGACTGACTAAGTCTGAAAAGAAGGTTAGACGACGAGGTTACTAATACAGGTTCATCAGCTGGTTAATTGACAACCAACATATTATATAAATGATTGCATTAACATGCTGAATACCACTAGTAACTTCGGCGGCCGGAGCGAGAGGGAACGTTTTGATCCAAAGAAACAGCTGCCAATTGTGAAACTTGGCGGAGGCTTGATAAGGTTGCCTTGGAAAAAAGTGGGACCACGCTACACGACTGAGGTAGCGATGAAGGCAGACGTTTGCTGTCATGTTTTGGAAGGTGTCTTGTATCCGTAGGCTTGGCTGCCGCCCGACCTGACTTCGCCTGTCGGCAGAGCAGCGACTCAAAGCATCGGGCCTCTCACATACAGGAGTGGTTTCAACAGCATGAGGTGCTTTTAAAAGATTAGCCATGCCAGACTCTTTAGCCAAAATCACAGAACCACTAGGGGAGGACCTACAAATTGGTATGACAATGGAAGAGCCAGGAAAATGCGGGACCTACAGAGAGAGACCCAACTAGAGAGTGAGTTCACTAATTGACCCCGCATTCAAATCCAGTTTATGTATCCAATACTTTAGAGAGTTCTGGGCAATCCGGTAGACTTGCTTAATGTTAGTGACTGTTTACTTCACTGTTCTGTTGGGTT